GTCTCCAACGCGGAACCATGCCTATAGGACCCGATTAACCAATTCTAAACATAATTCAGTGACCACCATTATCAGTTACTGCATAAAATGCCTAGATATCATGCCTATAGTTTTGAATCGCTTATACTTGTAATCAGCAGGCAACTATATAGGTTTCAGAGATTGTAAAATGACCGCTCATTAAATCCAGATTCATATAGAGATCATGCCTATATGTTTCTGCAACCTCAACTTACTAAAATCAGCAACTGTCTTTGTTAATCTGACTTGCGTGCATTTGTTGTCTAAATGCGGAGGCTAACTTGAGCCTTTACTTGCATATATGTGAAAGTTCTAAACTGTTTTGTATGTCGCTTAGTATTTTTCCTTTTGAGCAACCTAAGTTAAAGTCTAGAACCATCTTAAAATAAAGGTCCAAATGCCTCCTGGACCATAGGCTTGGGACGGGTAGTGCACGCGTAGGATACGACTTAGAACTGACTAGTGTGCTTTAAGTAAACAACTTAAAGATAGTAATTGGGTAGCAGGAGATGATAGTCTGTGCCTGCTGAATAATATGAGTAACACCACATTCGAGGGAGTTACGAAGTATTATTTATGTTGCACGGGGTGATCCTTTAGGCTAAAAAACTTAGGACCCCCCCACCCCACCTTGCCTTTCAATCAATTATTTGTGTTTGATAATGAACTTCCCCAAATCCCTTTATTTTCTTGTCTTTGATCACATAGACTAATTCATATAATCGAGTTTGGTCGGGACCCGCAGTTGTGGACCTCGAAGAGTGCCTAACACCTTCTCTTCGAGGTAATTTCGAGCCCTTACCCGATCTTTGGTGACGCAAACTAGTTAGACAGAGTTATCTACAAATAGGTGGCCTAACGCACCTTAACCCGTTAGGTGGAGAATGTCTCTTTTAAAACACCTTCCTTAAAAGAGTTGTCACGTGTCGAAACCCAATTTCGCGAGAAAAAGGTGCGCGACAGGCATCTCATTAAATGATGTGGCGTTCTTTCATTTGTCCACGTGGCTCAGTGGGGCTGACATTGTATTTGGGTATTTTTTGACCTATTTAACCGATCTGACCCATTATTTTTTATGTGGGTCAGTTCTTTTACCTTATACCCAACGACAAAACATTCATTTTTACCATTTCTCTCATTTCCTCTTTCTAAAACATCAAATGGCGATTTTAGGGTATCTTTAGGGTTCGTGGTTTGGTCCGATTTGGTGCTCACAAAATAGGTACACCTGTGATTTCCAGCAATATCTTGCAATATCATTCGATTAAAGTAAGTATTTACAGCTTTAAGTTATTAAATTTTAGGGTTGGGGAGTATTTGGGAACTGACAAGTTTATGTCTGTTGCATGTGATGTTTTTATGTTATATGAGCTGTCTTTTGTATCTTTCTAGATTTATTTATGTTACTTTTGTTTTTGGTGGTGCTTGTCGTGTTGGTCCTACATATTAAAGCTAGGGTTTTTGTCGATTTGTATAATTAATTGATGGTAGGGTTTCATATCTTTATATTTTTTTGTTGTTTAAGCCTTGAATATTGCTGATGTGGTTCCATTTTGCCTTTTTTTATTGTTGTTGCATGTGATTTTATCCGAAGGATGGTGGATAAAGTGAACTTTTATTTTAATTATGGGGTGAGTGCGTATTGGAACCTACACTGTCTTATACTAAGAGAGATGTGCACCTGTTGAGTGGTTATGAAGTAAACCATCTCTCTTATATTGATTTGTGTAAAGAATACACTGAAGCGATAGGATTTGTTGAGGTACAACAGTTGATATTTCTTGACCCATCTGGGAGGTAATTTTTGTTAGATGGGGATGAAGGTATTAGGAAGATTCAAGCCCTGATTAATGATGGTTCCACTGATGTACAATTATTCCTGTATTTACCCAGTTTACAGCAACATATAGTGTACCTGCTGTTGTAGCTTCTGACTGTGATAGTAGTGAAGATGATACAGATATTGAAAGTGTTGATAATGATTATGATAGTGATGCTCTAGGTTTATTTGAGAGGCAGAAGAAGTGTGAGGTAACTGACCAACTTGATAGGTATAAACATTGGAAAAAGGTATGACTTTCAAAAATCTTCCGGAAGCTAAGGAGGTTATTGGTTATTATATTGTTTCTAATAAGAGGGGCCTTCAGGTAGATAAGAGTGATAGGAGAAGACATAGATACAAGTGTCATATTGGGTGTCCCTTTAAATGTCTTATTTCTAAGGATGACAAAGATCAAGGGGTAAAGATAAAAACTTGGAGGGATGAACATGAATGTGGTGAAGTTTTTGAGAACAGAAGAGCTACTCTGCTGCTTTAGCACATTATTTTAAGAGAAATATTCAAAATAATCCTAAGTTTAAGGTTAAAGAGATGAAGGTTGATTTAGAGGAAAGATTTAGTTTGAATGTGAGTGATTCAAAGTTAAAAAGGGTGAAGAGAATGATATTAGAGAAATTGGAGGGCAGTTACTTGGATGAGTACAACAAGTTGGAGGCATATGCTCAAGAGTTGAGAGAAACCAACCCTGGTACTGATGTGGTGATACAGATATCCAAGGATGTAATGGAGGAAGGTAAGAGAAGATTTTTCAGGATGTATGTCTGTTTCCAGGCCCTCAAGAGTGGATTCAAAGCAGGTTTGAGACCTTTTATAGGTCTAGATGGAACCTTTTTAAAAGGCAAATACAAAGGGATGTTGTTAGTTGTTGTTGCTTAAGATTCTTGATAGCATGTGTATCCACTAGCTTGGGCTGTAGCGGATAAGGAAACAAAGAGAACATGGCAATGGTTCATGGAGAACTTGAAAGATGGTGAAGGGTATACATTCATGTCAGATATGCAGAAGGTATGTTACCATATGCTTAATTCAGAATTTTTTTTGGTGCCTAATCCAGGTTTTAAAGCCCAAGACCAACAATGCCAAGTCAGGCTAGCCAACCAAGTCAGCTGTCCAATCAGCAATCCAGTCAGAACACTCATATGCCGAGTAAGCAATCCAGTCAGTACACTCAGTAGCCAAGTCAGCAATCCAGTCAGTACACTCGGCAGCCAAGTCAGCAATCCAGTCTTCACACTCAAATGCCAAGTCACCACTCCAGTCATGACACCTAGGCAATTCAGATGCCAAGTCAAAATATTCAGACCAGAAGAAGGCTTATTCAACCAGACTTTGGTGCAGAAGCTGACCCAATTTTGAGGCCTAAGGTTGTCTCTGATATTAAGACTAGACTTCAGCGTAATAATCAACAAAATTCTGGGACTAGGAACATACCATTCACAGGTGATCACACTGGTAGCTCACAACCAACAAAACTACCGTACTCCCCAAAGAGAACTACCTGGAAGGGGAAGGAGGCAATGACAACAGCTCAACTATTGGGTGTGAAAGAGAAAAAGATTGGCAAACTTAAAGCTAGAAGAGGCAAGGGGAGGGGCAAGGGGGAGTAATGTAGCAAGAAATAATGAATGTAATATACATTAAAATCCCTTTTTTGCATGATTGTTCGAGTACATGATGTTTGTTTATGTTCTAGGTTTTTAGACAAGTAAATGTTGTGACAGTGGTACTGGTTTTTGGATCACACATTTACTTGTCTAATAGCAATGTTTTGTTGGGCTTAAATCTTGAAACAATGTATATTTGCTACTCGATTAATGGCAATGTTCTTCTTGTCTATCTATAAGAGATGGTTTTATTTGTTATTGTGATTGTCCGTGTATGCAAAATATTGTATGAGAGTGAAGAGAATGGTAAAAAAACTTCATTTCATACCAACAGAGAACCATTACAAATGCAGCATTACAGCATCTGCAGAATTATAACATCTGGATCTAATACATAAACATCTGTAAATTACAACATCGACAGAATTACATAATAACCTAACTACACTACATCATCTTGAAAACTAGCACCAACACAAAGACAACCCAAGAAAACACAATAAATAACTTCATATTTTGTAGTTTATCCTCCATCCTAGCGACCTTCTCTAATTTTGCTGAATTAATTCCCTCCACCTCTTCCATTATTTTCTCCATTTTCAGTCTTTCAACAGAAACAACATCTTCCAAGTTAGTCACCATCTTCTTCAGATAATTTCTTTCAACTTCCACTGACTTCAATGAAGTATTCAAGTTATGGATTAACATCGTCACATGTGGTGGCATCTCTTCATCCCGCCATTCCCACAAACCACATGAAGCTTCCTCGTCAAAACGAGGGCATTTGTAGAATCGACGACCGCCGTTCAAATGAGTCTTAGCCACAAAATGATTTGCAATTAAACCACAACCACAACGGCGCAACGAACAAGAAGAGACAGAATTTTCAGACATTTAAATTTTTTGTTCAATAAAGGCAGAACTTTTACCCAACCGCAAGATTCAAAGGAAAAAGACAAGATTTAATTAGTTGAAAAGGAGAAATTTTGGGGAAGAAGAATCGGGTAAGTAAACTGATGACCTAGGTTCTAAATTGGGGAAGAAGACGAGGAAAATATGTGGGTATAAAGTTAAAAGAATGGGTATAAGGTAAAAGGAGTGGGTCGGATCGGTTAAATGGGTCAAAAAATACCCAAATACAATGTTAGCCCCACTGAGCCACGTGGACAAATGAAAGAACGCCACATCATTTAATGAGATGCCCACATGGAGTTTCGTTAGTCGCGGGGGTAAATTTAAAAATAGAATTAACGTCCTATATATTTTCAGACGGATAGATGGACGGAGGACTTTTATAAACCATTTACCATACGATAGGGGTACTTTAAGCCCTTTTCCATACAATAAACTGATACGAACTTTTTACTTCTATATATATATAGTCAAACTTCTTTGTAATAGTGTAATTTATCCGGATAATTTTTGCCTGTTATAGTAAAGTGGCGTGATAGAGAAAATATATTATAGCATAATATGAACAATTGGTTTCGAAGAAAACTTGGCTATTCTAATGAAGTACCGTTATAAAAGATGACTGTCATAGCAAAGTCTTACTGTAGTTATATGGACAAAGCTTCAACATGAAAACAACAACATATTTCACTACAAGAAACAAACACGGGAACGTTAAATAACCACTACCAACTTTACTTAACAAAACACGAGCATATGAAAATTTACCCTTTATTCCTATATTTACTACAGTTATACCGTGCATATATACAAGGTATACTAGGTTACTTTTAGAACTTGCCAGCATCTGTATCAACTCCTCCTTTAGGAACATCACCTCCATTACCATTGTTGAAGTCTTGCCTTGGTATATAATGGTGATTATTCACGCTGCTACTTTCCCCCTGCTCGAAACCATTATTGTCTTCGTTATACTTCTGGACTAAGTTCCTGCTCGTGGCCAAGGTTGAAGTCATCACCAACATAACTAAAACAAGCACAACGAACGTCCTCATAATTATGTATCCTTTTTATATCTGCCCCTGTGAATCAAGAATGATAAATAAATGATGAGTTTAGTCGTTGAGTATGCAACTACAAACGTGAATAGATGCTTTCCGAGTAAAAAGATAAAAGAACATGATTGCGGACAATTTTCAAAGGAAAAAACAAAAAAAGGAGTAATTAAAGTTTATGCAGGGGCGGATGTAGTGTATTACTAACGAGTTCGATTGAACCCATAATTTTTTATGCGGAGTAAAAATTCATTAAAATTGTAAAAATAGTAGATATGATCCCATAATTTTGAAATATAACGTTTAAATGCTAAAACTCTTAAAGTTGAACCCATAGAATTTAAATCCTGGATCCGCCTTTGAAAATATGGATCATCAACATACTAGCTATGAAAAAGTACGTAACAGATATGCCGTCCAATTCTCATGTCTTAAGCACGACATTTTGGTGGAAGTAGAAGTAGAAAGGTGAATAAATACAGTGATAATTTGATTTTTCTATGCTGTATGACAACACAAAGTAAAGAAATATATTTAATCTCTTCATGCTCGTTTCAAGCTTCAAATACCATTAATAAAAATCTCATTTTGTTACATGATTTTCTTATTCATGAAGCTGAGCATCGCAACTTTTAAAAGTGTTTAGATGTATATTGTTGCATAACGGGGATATTTTCTTCTCTTATAAAAGGCATAATATAATGTATTATCTAACTGTGAAATAGAAACATACCTGGCTAAAGATAAGAAGTGCTAGAGAATATCTGAAGTTAGTTGTGAGGTATATGAAATTTTTTACGTTGTTTATATAGCGAGTGAATCTAGAGATCATGTAATTACTATTCGTATTTGTATGGGTCAAAATCCGACCCCACGATAATTAACGGAGTTAATCTCGTCCTGCGCTAATACATAATTAATAAAGTGGTATGGCCACTTTATTTGTAACAGGACTCGACTCTTATCCGATTTAATCTACGAGGGTACGGCCCAGTCATTCCCCCATGGGGACGGAACTTCAGCATGACCACGGCCATTTATTGCCAGCTCACAAAGCTCACATCTATAAATACGAAGAGCAGTAGCCCTAGAAAAGGGGGGCTTCTTGACCACTAGTGAGAGGAGAGAGAAACGAGAAAATATACCCCTCTTATGGGAAGAGAAAAACACCATTGTAAGGCTCTGAACCTCTTCATGGAGAGGCAGACCAAACAAATATTATCAATAAAGGTTTCTAATGCTTCTCCCCCTAATTCTGAGTTCTTATTTTAGTTTCTTTCATTTGGTCCAACGGATTATTACGATTTGCTATGATTATCCCGGGATTAATTTATATTGTTTAGTACTCGTAAGATGTGTAACATTTTTTGAGCAAACAATTTGGCGCCGTCTGTGGGGATTTCATAGCAAAATCACGTAGTTCTTCCCTGGACCGAAAGAAAAGAAGCGCCAAACTCGAAGGGGAGCTCGAAGATCTCAAACAAAGATCTAAGTCCTCACTCTCTCTCCAATCTCAGATAGTGCAAACAAGAAGAAGGGGCCCCCTCCTTTCCTCAGGGGAGGTCTCTGTAAGGCATACGAACTCCGGTCGGAAACCGGCACGGAGATATCTCGAGCCGAGATTCGCCTCAAGACAGCCTATATACCCTGGTTGGGAAGACAATGGGTAAGCCGCTCAAGGTCTCGAATCCAAAACGAGTTCCAGCACTCGATACCCACAATATGGGATTCGGGCTCTGTGCCTTCGTCATCAAGATCGACAAAGTTCAACAGCAGTTGAACCGGGACTCAGGCTATGTGCCTTCACCAAAAATTCAACTACGGTTGAATCAAGACAGGCTATGCGCCTTCACCAAAAAGTTCAACTACGGTTGAACCGGGACTCAGGCTATTTGCCTTCGCCAAAAAGTTCAACTACGGTTGAACCAAGACAGGCTATGCGCTTTCATTAGCAAAATTCAACTATGGTTGAACCGGGACTCAGGCTATGTGCCTTCGCCAAAAGTTCAACTATGGTTGAACCAAGACAGGCTATGCGCCTTCATTAGCAAAATTCAACTACGGTTGAACCGGGACTCAGGCTATGCGCCTTCGCCAAAAAGTTCAACTACGGTTGAACCAAGTTAGGCTATGCGCCTTCGCCAACAAATTCAACTACGGTTGAACCAAGACGGGCTATGCGCCCTCATTAGCAAGTTCAAATACGGTTGAACCAGGACTCAGGCTATGTGCCTTCGCCAAAAAGTTCAACTACGGTTGAACCAAGTCAGGCTATGCGCCTTCGCCAACAAATTCAACTACGGTTGAACCAAGACGGGCTATGCGCCCTCATTAGCAAGTTCAACTACGGTTGAACCAGGACTCAGGCTATGTGCCTTGCCAAGAACGTTCAACTACGGTTGAACCAAGACAGGCTATGCGCCTTCATTAGCAAATTCAACTCGATTGAACCAGACTCNTCCTCCTCACCCACATTAGCAGCCGCTGAGGAACTACCTCCCGTCTCAGCGACTGGAACCACCAATTGAGCCGCTGAAGCGACGGTATCATCACGGCCTAAGCCAACCGGGGCAACCCCCATTGTTTGTCCGCCCTCAGGGGCAGGCACCACAGCAGCACTCCTCTCTGCGTCCGCCGGCGGGGAGTCCAAATTAATTACCACAGGAGGAGCTGGCGCGAACGCGACCCTACGCCTTATCAACGGCCTCTCCTCCTCCCCATCTAATGACGACTCCGCTCTAGGGCGCACAACCCCCGATGGCCCCTCGTCCCGAAGTAGGGTCCGTGATGGAGAAGAAACCGCTGAAGACTTGACTGATGCCGCCCTCGGTGTTGAGCGCGACACTGGCGCTGCAGTAAGCCGAGCAACTGCACCAGGCCGACGGAAGGCCAACTGAGGGGCCCTGACGTGGCGCCCCCTCCCTAATCACAAGAAAACAACGTTAATGAATAAAGCTGAAACAAAGCGGAACAGAAGAAGAGACCAATTTTTTACCTGCCACAGGCCTACGGCCATGCCTCTCCCAGAAAGACGCCCACGTACGTATCCCCCTCGTATGGGGGAGTATGGCCTCGACCCATTCGCGTATCCAAGGCAATGGGGGCGGCGGCGACCTGTCGGCTACAAAAAAGACACGAGTTAACGCTCATAAGCACAGATCATAAAGAGGGGAATAAAAGAATTCAACCACTAAAGAACTTACGTGCATGGTTCCAGGCCTCTGGGAACCCAGTAGCATCCGCCACCAGGTGTTGGGTCCTGATATAAAAGAAGTGCTCGAAAGGGCGGGGGTCGACCTCGTCATCCAATCTCGTGACCAGGCCCCTCGCCCCACGAGGGCACGCCTGAATCATGGTGCCACGGACTCTCTGGGGAGCGTAGAGACTCAGCACGTGCTGCAGCGTGACCTCCCTACGGGCCAATTCCGCATATTTGATGAACATCGCCAACAATTTGTAGAGGGAAGGAGTGAGCTGACCTGGGCACACCCCGTAATGACGGCAGAAATCCACCACCAGCATTGGGAGCGGGATATTGAACCCCAACCTGAAAGGATAGGCGTAAAAAACGCAGTATCCCCTACGGTCGGTGTGGACCCTCTCCTCGCTTCTAGCGAGAACGATGTCTGCATGGGTAGGAACGACACCCTGTTCCCGCAATCGGGCCATCCCGATTTCCCCCATCAACGGGGCTTCATCCACCGGTTCCTCTCCACCGTCGACGGTGAAATCGATCGCCGGACCTCCAAGCCGAGGAACCACCTCGTCAACCGACGGGATTTCGCCGGACTCCATCTGTTCTGCACCTCCCATTGTCGGAGATGGTCCTTCAACTACCGAAAAATCTACCGGAGGAGCACCGTGAGAAGAACTGACTGCCATTGTTGATCTACTGAAGACAAATGTTGTCACAATCAAAGGAAAGAAAAGAGAAGATGAATTAGCAAAACGAAAAAGTTTCCTCAGAATCTCTCTCTCAGATGAACAATGAAAATATGAGAAATAAATGCCTCAACCCACCTTTATAGGCAACATAAATGGCTTTTGCGAAGCCCAATGGCCATCATTAACTGCACGACCAACCGTAAAAAGGTTCGGTTCTATCGTAACAAGCGTTATTATGACGAGCTCCATAAAGCGGCTTCTCAGCCATCCGCCAGCATACCGCCGTCAGAACAATCGCTACGACCTGTGAACACTGAAAGAATGTGCCGTACGCTGTTAAAATTTTGGACGACCAAATACATACTCGGCGCATATTCATTCCCCACAGCCATCTTCAACATATGAAAGGCTACGGCCAACCTCAACATATGAAAGGCTACGGCCATCTCTAATGTATAAAAGGCTCTCCAATGTATGAAGGGCTACGGCCAGCGCCAACGTGTAAACGGCTAAGGCCACCGCCGCCAATAAGACGACCCCCCCTTATTCGAGTTGTTTTCAAATCACAATCGACGAAGTCCGCTCATCGAGCTCGGCCAAGGCCCGACCTCAATAAGCGGAGGGACTAACTGTATGGGTCTAAATCCGACCCCACGATAATTAACGGAGTTAATCTCGTCCTGAGCTAATACATAATTAATAAAGTGGTATGGCCACTTTATTCGTAACAGGACTCGACTCTTGTCCGATTTAATCTACGAGGGTACGGCCCAGTCATTCCCCCATGGGGACGGAACTTCAGCATGGCCACGACCATTTATTGCCAGCTCACAAAGCTCACATCTATAAATACGAAGAGCAGTAGCCCTAGAAAAGGGGGGCTTCTTGACCACTAGTGAGAGGAGAGAGAAACGAGAAAATATACCCCTCTTATGGGAAGAGAAAAACACCATTGTAAGGCTCTGAACCTCTTCATGGAGAGGCAGACCAAACAAATATTATCAATAAAGGTTTCTAATGCTTCTCCCCCTAATTCTGAGTTCTTATTTTAGTTTCTTTCATTTGGTCCAACGGATTATTACGATTTGCTATGATTATCCCGGGATTAATTTATATTGTTTAGTACTCGTAAGATGTGTAACATTGTTTGAGCAAACAATATTATTTTATTTGGAGATGGGAACTCCACCAGAAGAGGCAAGAATAAGTGGAATTGCCATATCAGACAAATAAATGATGGAGTTGATGGAAATTAATGTCTCATTATTTGATATGGAAAATATATAATTAGAATTAAATCCCACATCAATGTCAGCGGATTTTATGATATACCAAAAGTCAACCAATAACAGTTAAATTACTGTATTACATGATTTGTTATAATTTAGCATATATAATATCTTAAGTTTCTTTGGAATTTATCTGTTTAATCCTATTCTCGATATGGAAACTTGGCATGATTAAATTGTCCGTTTAGAAATGCATAGTAATTTCCACTCTGCCTAGTTGTTGTTCTAAAACTAATTTTACTTTTTCATGATCAACACTCATCATGTTAGTCCACTGCAATTTGAATGCTTTTCAAATCCTATCAGACAACAACAACAACAACATTCCGAGTGTTAATCCTATAAGTGGGATCTGGGAAGAGTAAGGTATACGCAGACCTTACCTCTATTTTGTACCTATGTGGTAGATAGGTTATTTCCGATAGACCTAAGAGTCAGCAAAATAGTAAAGATAACATAAGATGCAGGATACGAGCCTCCATTTTGTCTACCGCACTTCATTTCCTAAGGGTGGCAAGTGGCCGGTTAGGCCCGGGACCGGCCCAGGCCCGCGAGCCCATATGGGTAGTGGGCCTAAACGGTCCTACCCGTTTAAGCCCGGCAC